TAGCCTAACGATAAGAGACATTGCCTTAAATCCAATATTCATCTGAAATTACTCTATAGGTTATTTAAAGGATCAAACTCCAATTAAAATAAATTGGGTTGTAAGTAGATAAAAACATAAAAAAAAATAACAATATATGAAAACTTGAGTTTGATGAAATTGGCCATAACTGCTATTCCGCGAAAAGTGAAAATACTGTCCTTCCAATAATTTTATCTTAATTCAGTCATAGAAGATTTTATTGATGTTATTTTATGTCGTCTTTATAAATGCAACTTATTATGCTGAGTATTGACTGCAAATTACATCACACAATTTACAGCCTCATTAGAAAGTCTTCATATCTACTAACATATAATAATTTGTTATATAATTTTAATTAAATCAGGAGTAGTAATTTCATATTATGGAATTTATATACTATTACACGAAATATTTAATCTTAATACTATATCGTCCTCATATTTTGAATTGAAGTATATGATTAAATAATCTAGATTGTAATCGCCAATGCTATAAACACTACTGTTTCATCACTAGTAGTGTTGATTATTGTAGGAGTCAGAGTACAAGCAGTTCCTATCAATGTTTTATCTTGATTGTTATATTTGTTCAGACTATAATACGAAATGTTAGATTATAAGGAAGATACTATGATTTAAATAAATAAAAAAATTCTTAAGAATATTTTTATCTATCCGAAGGAAATGTTAAATATTTTTTTCTCTTAGAAGATCCCAATATATTTTAGGCAGTGACTACTATTTTCTCGGTAATCATAGTTCCCTTTATTTTTCTTTTATTTTAGTTAAAAAGGTCTGCCCTTCATCTATCGATATTGACAAAGATCTTGGATTATCAAAAATATCTGATACAAATTGAGTTGATTTATATTGGATTAAAAAATATCTAATTGATTTGTTCCTGAAGATATTATTTATTCAAATACAATACTCCAACAATTTTTGCCTTTAACTATAAAGTAAAATCATTTAAATAATTCGAATGTTCTAAAAAAAAATTGAGAATAATTGTTTTTGTTTAAACAATTAACAATGATCCTCCATATGTTGCATTGTTATTAATAAACCTAAATTTATTATTCTAATTGATCATTTTTTAATAGTTTAAAGATTATCAACTTGATTTAAATTTGAATTTCATTTATTTGCACCTTATTAATTTCAACTCTACTTCCTCTTTAAATTGTTATTTTCATAATGCAACTTAATTTTTTAATTAAACCTTTTCTCAAAATGAATGAAACAACTCAATTTACAATATTCTTAAAAAGTGCTATAGTATTGAGAAAGGAATTCCTTGAAATTTGGAAATTCTAAATAATTGAATTCATAAAATATGTCCTAATTTATGATTTTTTTATATTTGTATTTTTCAACTATTTTAAACTCAAAGAATGAAGACTTTAACAGGGTTAAGATTAGTGTTCATTGATAAATAAAATATATTTTGAGATAGCTTGTGTTTCATTGCAATAAAAGTTGATATAATTAAAATATGTAACCAATTATTGCCTATTTAATTATTATTAATAATTTTGCAAAACTAAAATCATTTTTCAGAATATTTTCATTTGATCACTTAATTTAATATCTCTACTTTGCATTTATAAGATAAATGTACACATGGATACAAATCTTTAGATGTATTAATAGCGAGAGTCTAATAATAAATAGAATTGATACGAATGATTCATTTGTGAATTACTTTGTCCATTTCACGTACTTCTTTACAATATCCACTTCAACGATTATGATATCATTCGTTGTAAATGGAAATGCTATTCTTTTATTATTTTTATCTTGTTAATCATGATTATAGCAATAACCGCAATTTGCTATATTATATGTTCTATTTTGAACTATTAATATCGTAAATTTACCCTCCTCCAATTTAATAACATTAATAATAACCCTTACTCTACACAATATCCCTGAAACCAATTCCAATCATGATATAACCAATTTCAATAATTTTAAAAGCAAATTAGATCACATCATTCTTAGGAATCATTTAATCACACATACAACAATACCACTACCAATCATATAAATTATTCTCAATAACTTTTCCACTCTTCTAAGTTACTGAACAACTACTATGCTTATAGGTAGTTGAGAATGTCAATTATTAAGAAAATTACCATTGTTAATTGGGACTAAGCTAAACTTATAAAATGTACTTCTCAAGGTTTGTATCAGATTGAATCAGGGGTTATGATTTAAACTCTTTCTTAATTATTAATGATTGAATCTCCTACATTTCTTTCTTGAACTTTTAGATAAACCCTTCAATCTCTTGGACCAAGCAATTCTATGTCTTTTCTAATTTCATCAAAAACCAATTCTTCTCACCATTCAAATCATTTAATTTTGTTCCAATAACAATTTAGACTAATTTTTCTAAGTCAGCATAGGAGGATTCTGCTAAATTTGTACTTTGGTTGATAATATTAAAGTATTCCTATTCAATCCAATCGTAAACCTATTTGATTGATTCAGATAATTCTTCCCAAATTTTCTTCATAGTACTCTCTGTTTGAGAGAGCACTGATTTGAAATTGTTTCTCTATTTGATTAACTCAGATGTTTCATCAAGCTTGGATTCTTTAAATTTCTTGATAACCATTTCTTGAAACTTCTTAATCACAACTGTTTGTTTGACATTCACATCTTGTTCATAAAGGCATTCAAAGCAAAGTTTCCTTTAATATTAACACATGTGAGGAGCTATACATATTATGGATATTGGATTTTGTATATGATAAGTGCAATTCATAACTTTTAAACAAAAAATAAAATTTCTATTATTTTTATATTAAGCTTTATATCCTTACCAAAAATATCTTAATTATTAATTTTAAGTTAGAAGATTTGGATTTGATTGTAAATGAAATGAAATCAACAAATCTTAAATCAAATAAACTTTTGCTTAACTTGAATCTTAAAGAATATAGAAGAAATATATCATTAAATTTTGTAAATTTACATAATTAATAATCGATTCATTTGATTAAAGCCTTGCTTTATTGAATATCTATTTTTTGTTCCAAATCACAATTTTATATAATTTTTCATCATGGATATTTCTATAATGATTAGTTTAAAAAAGTAGGAATTAGTATATATCATAACATTACATAAGTTATTCAGAAAAGATATATTTGATTTACATAAAACTAATAAATACTTTTCATGAAATAGAAAATCTTTTTAGAATATTCTTATAATATATTTATAGTATAAAAAGATGTGGGAAAAATTTTATCAAAAAAGTATGATCTTTTGAGGGTCGTTTTTAAAATGTTTAATATTGTAGTTGATGAGGTTGCTAACTACCTTTTTAAATTTTTTGAAAAGGTTCCATCAAATCCTATTGCTATTGTACTTGCAAATTAAGTTTAGTATGATATGTTGGTTCCTTTTAGTAAACATTTATTTCATCTGATGTATTGCTGTGTATTTCCTACTAGCAGTATGATATTCATAATGAGTAATATAGAAAGAAGCATTAGCACAAGATTTATATGGTTTTAAACTTTTGAGCTGATGAATTCAAATGGAGTAGGTTGAATACAAGCTCTATCATATTCAATTACACAAGCTTCATAAATATTTGTTTCTGAAGATAAAGTAATTCCAATACAGTTTGATCCATTTGGTCTGCTTTTTCCCTCAATAAATAAATTAATTGCTTTGTCAGGGTTTTTAATTATTAAATAAATTCCTAAAAAATTATAAAGGATTACTTCTTAACTTTCTTTAGTGCCACAAGAAAATATTTAACATTAATGTATTACCAAGAATTTAATTAAATAGTCTAGAATATAATTTTAATATTTCTTTTTTAAATTTATGAATACATTTTATTTTACTTAGAGTTATTTTGAAAATAAAAATAGTACTTCTTACGAAATTCTTCTATATAGTTTTATTCTAAGAAGAAGTTTAAATACTCTCACAATGTCACAAAATTATTAATTATTAATTTTTAATGAATTCAGAAAAAATGTACAATTTTTTTAAAATAAATAGTGGAGGAAAAACTGATATAAATGGCTAAAAGAATGGTTGGTGGGTTGAGTTGAATGATAGCATAATTGAGTATTTATTATAATAAGAATCAGAAGCCACAATCAAGTTTCTCATTATTGTGGTGAATATTAGGAAGGGAAAAAAATAGGTAGATGGGATACAAAAATTAAATTTAATATTTTTGATGAATTTTAAGTGATGTAAGGAAATATTTTTAATAAAAGCGGGGGAGGAGAATACGATTTGAATGAAATGAAAATAGGATAATGGGTGGAATTAATTACAAATTTTTCTTAGTATTGTTCAAACTAAATAGAAACAATTAAGTGCAATATTTAGGTTTTTATAAAAAAGGATAAAAGTATGGTTAATGGAATACTTTATTGAGATAAGAAAATGATTTTGATATTATGTAATTATTATAGATTATTCATTAAGTGGAGGCGGATTTTATGAAAAAGGAGTCAAAATTGGAAAATGGATGGAATTGAGTTCAAAAAATGACTGTAAATTTAATCACATTGGAGAATATGATAAAGGTTTAAAAATTAATAGATGGAATATTATATTTACAAAGTATGATACTGATGATTATAAAATTATGTATGTACAATATTGATTTCTAGTGGAGGAGGTTTATATAATTTAAAAGGAATAAAACATGGTAAATGGGTAGAAATTTAGAATGAACACGAAAAGTAATTTTTTATAAAATTAGTTTTAACATCGTTGCTTATATTGGAGAATATAAAAATGGAAAAAAAATTGGTAAATGGGAGATTATTTAGGGTTCAACTGAAATGAATCAATATTAAATGATGTATAATTTATTATAAGTAGTTCAGTGGTGGAGGTTGTTATGATATAAATGGGTTAGAACAAGGGTTATGGACAGAGATAGAATAATTTTCATTTAAGTTTAATTATTTAATTATTGATAGATTTTCTGTTATATCTATTGGTAAATATTTAGAGGGGAAGAAATGTTAAAAATGGGAAACTATGTATCGACTTTATAAAGAAGATGAATTTGTGAAATTGTAAGTAATTTTATGCTAAAAAGGGGGACTGGTTGCTTTGATAAAAATGGAATAAAACAGGGGGATTGGGTTGAAATACATTCTAATTTTGAAAAGTTTGTATTTTTAATAATTAATAGTCATTAAATAACTTATCATGGATTTTATTAAGATGGAGTAAAAATTGATAAGTGGTAGACATATTACTAAGAGGAGGGCCAAGATGATTTCGCAATTATGTATCAAAATTATTTTTATCCTTAGTGGTGGTGGATGTTTCGATAAAAATGGATTTAAACAAGGTAAATGGATGGAATTACATGAAAACTTTAATGAGTATTTTTCTTATTAATACTTAGTGATATGAAAATTAGCTATTAAGGTGACTATCTACTTGGTAAAAAGATAGGAAGATGGGACACTTTACAACTTTAAGATGATTAATATATTTAAAATTCTCATAAGTAATTTTTATTTTATAAATTTTAGTTACAGCAGATCATCAAGCTAAAATTATATGACACCTGATGATTCTTCAATAGATTCATCAAGTTTTTAGGGCTTGTATTATATAATAATTACTAGCAATCCAATTCAAAATAAATTTTAATAAAATTTTCAAAAAGATTAGAAAATGCAAGAAGATTGTAATGTACATCAAGAAGATGATGGATAAATTATATTCAATTCAAAATAATTCTAAATTATGTAAATAAATAAATATTAACTATATAGTGGAGGAGGATAATTTGATATGAATGAAAAAAAGGACGGATTTTGGATAGAAAATAATTTAGTCAATTCATCTTAGTATTTTAGATTACAAAACTAGTTTTGATTAGATATAGAGCAAGGGAAACTATAATCAAGGCAAAAAAGTAGGAAATTGGATTATAGGTTGTTTTAGATATATCGAAAAAAAGATGTATTGAAAATTTATAAAAAATTAGGGGTGGTGGATAATATGATGAAAATGGAATTAAATAAGGTATATGGTTAGAATTATAATCATATCAAGATAAGTATATTGATTTAAGATTTAATAGCTATTATTTTGATTAATAAGATTGTCTTATTAACTTTGGAGAATATAAAGATGGTTTAAAAATAGGTAGATGGGATACTTTATAATTATAGCCCCAAAAAAAATTGTATTATTAAATTATGTAATATAAATAATGAATAATTTAGAGGGGGAGGATTTTTTAACTAAAATAGCATAAAATATGGTGAATGGGTTGAAATAGTTAAAAATTGTGGATTGTAAACTTTAAACTTAATTTAGTAGTTCTGACATGATTACAATATATAAAGGTGAATATAAAAATGGAAAGAAATTTGGTAAATGGGAAATAAAATAGAGCTCAAATTAAGATTATTATAAATTTAGGCCAATGTAAGAATGAATTTTAATAAAAAGCTTTGGTGGTTTGTATGATATGGATGGTCGAAAATAAAATTTATGGTTAGAAGAATAATGTGGATCATCTTACAAATTATCGTATTATTGAACTTAAATTATAGTTCAAAAAATTTAATATTTTTTGGAAATTATAGAAATGGATAAAAAATTGGCTAATGGGATTATATGGACATAGGTGAAGATGGCTCTACTTAAATCTTCACGTATAATAAAAATAATATTGAATTAGAGATGGAGGATTATATGATGAAAATGGTATGAAGCATGGTATGTGGTATTTAAATTCAAAAAATTAATTTACAAGGTAATACTGTATTTATATGATTAAAGTAAATTTTACAGTGTTGAATATAAAAATGGGTTTAGAATCAACGCATGGAAACAAGATTTATAAATGATAAACTTGTTGTGAAATTCATTTTAATATTCAAATTACAATACAAAAGTTCAAATTTATTTCATTTTATAATATCATAAACATGATGATATATTTTTATAAGCTTAAAAAAGCTCATACTTTTTAGTATTATATATCAGTTATAATCTATCTATTTAGTTATTAAAGAAAAATATTTGATAAAAAATTATTTAGTTTTGAATTATATTTGTTCTCTTACTATTAAACGAGAAAACTTATGGAAAGGTTTTAAAGGAATTGTTGGATATATTGAAATTTAGTGGAAATATTAGAATATTACAATGGATGAAAGTAAGGTACACGATATGAATTCATTCATAAATATTGATGGTAATTTTTAAAAGTTTATATATATTTAGTTCAGCCTAAGTATTTGAAATGGGTGAATACTATGATGACTGGAAAAGGGGAACTTTCAAGTATATTTACAATAACAGAAAAATATAAATTGTTAATTAATATTAGTGGAGGTGGAAGATACAAATGAATTTACTAATAAGGTGGCCAATAGGTTTTGAAATGTTTCTTAAATCATCTATTCTGATGAGTATAAATATGCCAATAAAGTTAGCATATGAGATATGTTTTCTAGAGATAAAATTGATAAATATATTTAGAGAATGAAGTAATTCAAGATGTAGTAAAAATTGTTTGGTATTAAATCTGTAAAAGGAGAATCAATACTTTAATAAATATTAGAAATAATCATAAATAATTCATTAGAACCTAGATAAGGAATGGTTAATGACAGCAGAATAAATTACATTGGCCAAAATATCTCATTCATAACATGAAAATAAGTTTGAAACATTGGAAGGAGTAGAAAAAATATAATACTATTAGGAGTTATAATTAATTGTGCTTATATAATATTGAGGTAAAATACTTTACTTGATGATCTTTTCTTAGTTGATTTTAACATCTGATTTATAAGACTCTATAGCACTTATCCAAGGACCAAGTTTAATAGATACTCACAAGTTATTGCAAGAGAATTAAAATTTGTTAGATAAATTTGTTTCAAGGATAATGTATAATCATCGATCTAAGCTTCTAACAATTGAATTTGCTGCTTGGATGAATACTTGATTCTACAAATATGAATGTGATAATATCTATTAATATATATTAGTTAAAAATACTTTAAAAACAAAATAATGATAATAACTTTGTAAAGAACTATGCTCACTCAAAATTCGTACTATTTTATGAAGTTTGTTAATTTTGAAGAGTTTAAAAGGAGATAACTTGAGAGATTCTATTAGAGAGGAACGTTGAATTTAACAAGGAGAATAAACCTTACTTATATTACATTCAAAATAAATAAAGGAAAGATATTAGAAATTCTCTAGGTTATTATTATGTAAATCAATCAGGAATGAGCAATCATTAAGAAGTAATATCTTTAGGAATTCATTTATCTATATATTATGAAGATATAAATAATAAAATAGTGCCTCTAAATAATCACAGATATAATTTTTTAAAATTGAGGTATAAAATCAATGTATTAGATCTGATACTTTTTAATTTTTATTTCAATAATTTACTCTTCTTTGAAATAAGTGAATATTTCAATTATATATGGTTCTAATTAAGAATAACTTTCATATAACTTTTTTCATAATATAATACTCTATAATGAGACAAATTTTTAGATAAGGCAATAATAAATACATAAAATTAAAAATAGATCAAATTTTACTCCATATAATCCATATAATCCACTCACATATATACATATTATTAGTTTCTGATGAATAATTCTTTTTGAAAATCAAGAAATTATTTCGGTATCAAAATAAATTTTTTATCATCATTAATTACATCAATAGTGTGTAATCATTTTATTTTTTTGAATTGTCAAAATATTTTTTCCCAAATTAAAAAAATATCTTCTCTTTTTAGTCTAAACAATGGTATTCAATTTAGAATTTAAAGTTTAGAAGATATTTAACCAAAAATGTATGATTATATGTGAGTGGATAATAAATTTAAATTAACTAAACACTATAGCAATTTTAATTTAGACAATTAATATAATTATTTATTGATGGCTAGTTAATTAACATAAATAATAATAATAGAAAGAAGTTCTAATAAATCCTAAGCCTTAAAAATGTCTATGAAGTATTTTTATTCTTCACCTTTAAGCCTAAAACTAACATCCTAAACATAATTATCAATTAAAAAATAGAAAGGAAGGATAGAAATAATTATTTAAAAACAAAGCAATAACAAAGGATAGAGTCTAAGATAAGCTCGATTAATCTCACATTTTATGGCTTATCATTAAATACCTAATTAAATTAACTTGCCCTATGTAGTTTTAAATGCTCTATTACAATTAAGATTTCTCTTTAAATTAAAATAATACTTTGAATTACATCTTATTTTACTTGAGCTGAATTTATTAAAGAAAGAAATATCACTAGAATATTTAATAATTAAGTATTAATAAAGATCAAAAACTTATCAAAAAGTGATAAAATAAAGTCTTTTCAAAATTTTCATAAATTCTTACGCTGACAATTAACAGAAATCTAACATTAAGAGATGGTCCTTAATTTCCATCAGATGGATAATTCATATTTACAATCGAATCTAATCCTCCATTAATAAAAACGATTTTTGGTTCATAACAATATATTTCTTGTATCTAAGATAAATAAAATACTTATAGAAATGAAACTCACTCTCAAAATACTGTAACCGTGTTTTTAGAATATTTTTGATCAAATAATGAACACTTTTTCATATTGTGGCTTCTATAATTATATTGTTGTAGTTCATTATTGTTAACCATATTGTTTGGATTGCATTGATGAATATCACTGTTTATAATGGAATAGTACATATAAAAGTGTTATAAAATTTTCATAATCAGAATGTTTGTGAATTCAGAAATTTCTCTTGTACACCTTGTAGTGTAGTGATTCTTGTTTAGAATATATATCTTTTATTAATTAATTACACAACATGTAAATCAACATAAATCAAAAGCTAACTGGGATGTTTTTGTAAACAGAATTAATATGAAGAGGCAAATCTATGCTTAAATTGTCCTAAGAATGCAAATAATATTTAAATTTTTGATATTTTTTTGATTGTATTAGCAATGATAATAGAATATTAGTGGATGGATAATTTTTATGTTTAACTGAATATTATTCTATTTTTCTTAAACTAAATGTTTGAATTTTGATAAACGACACGGAATCTGCGATGGTCCAAGTGTTAATGATTGCTTATAATGTTGATCTTATTGGATCTACTTGTAAAAGTTAATTAGGTTATTTTTACTCAGATTCTATATACTAATGTGTTAAATGTCACTCATCTTTTTTAGACTTTTTTGATGAAGCAAAATTGGTTGCTTAAGTTGTGATTATTAAATGAATAGAATAATCAACGGTTTAAAACGCAAATGTATTTCAGGATATTATTAAATTAATGATGAATAAATTAGTAAATATTAAATTATGTATAGATTGTCCAATAACTGATGCACCAATTTATCAAATTATATAAATATTGTTCATCAGATTTGAATTGCATAAGTTTAATTGTGCTTTTAATTGTAGTTTATGTAATATAAGTTTTCAGCTAATTTAAATTAATGCCAACCTATTTGTTTTATTAAAGGATATGAGTAATGCGAAGATGAAAATAATGTTGTGGAGGATTTTATGCAAACTTATATTAATTATGATATTTAAATCATACTAGGTTGGTTTCACAAATATATGTTGCTTTCGGTTATATTAATCAATTTAGGGTTTTAGTTATATACTATCTTATGTAAATTAAAAAAAAGTTTAATGAAGAAATTGTTTAGCATTTCTAATGAAGATTCAAAATAATAAAAATAATAGAAGAACCCTTTCCCAATTAAAACCTGTAAAGAATATTATGGAATTAAAAATATGATTTTGATTATTTATTTTTATATTTGTCTAGTTAGAATTTTAGTAACGAATATTTTCTTAATAAAAATAATTTAAGATTAGTATAATTTATATCTGTATATAGCAATAATTGATAAAATAAATCCCTGATAAAAAACAATTATCAATAATGTTTCAGTTTAGAGAAATTTAATTCTTAGATAAAAACAAGATTAGCTTATAAAACACTTCACAATAAATCCTAAACTGTTTTAAGATAACAAAAATATTTACATGAAATTATGTAAATGAAAAATTCTATTTAAAATTAAGCTATATTTCGTTTCTTCAAACCTTTGCTTTTTCGGTATAATATTAGACTGTTGTTATCAGTTGAAAGAAGGTCCTATAATTGAATTTATAAAAATACCAATATTATAATTGGTTTTACGAAAGATGGTATTATTCTATTGCAAATTTGCAAGAATCATTGGTAACTCGAAATTTTGCGATTTCATTACAAAATTAGAAATTGTTTCATTAAAGAAACTCTTAAAAATTTTATTTATTTAATGAAACATACCCTTAATTAATAAAACTTATAATCATTCAGACTTATTGAAATATATTTTTGAAACCAATCTATTGCTTCCTTATTATATTAGAGAGAATTTACAATATAAAAGTAGAATACATTGTATTTATGAAGATAGTTTAATAGATATAATGATGCTTTCTAATGTTCATATTGTATCAATATTGTTTTGGTTTATTTTAAATGCTAATTTGTAAGAAGCTATGGCTTCTTCATTTCGTTCCTATTCATCTATAAAACGTTAAATAACCCTGATTATAATGTAACTCTTATAAGTAATTATTAGTAAAATACCCTTGCTGTAATAGATTTCACGAGCATTTGAATTTATTTTTTTGGCTTTTTAAAGCCCTCTATAGCTTTTTCATATCTTTGAATTTTATGTACATCAATTTAAGATCTGAATTAATTGCTAAATAGTTCTAATACTTTTATTAAAATATCCATTCTACAGTATGTAATATTGCTTTTCATTAGGCATTAATTACTTCCCTATAAAGTTGGAAATCATCTCTGATGTATTACAAATTTTTATATATTAATGCAGTTGCATATAGATTTGATTTATTTATATATAACTACTGTAAGTGCAATATACTTAATGATTATTTGCTTTCATTAAAATTGCTATTTTTTTGAGCTTTAATTGCTTCATCGATGCGTTTTATACCTAATAATATATTTAACTAATTTTTAAATTTAAGGAATTCCCTCAAATAAATTACTAAATTTACTTTGATATTATCCTTATTGAAATACACCGAATAAAAATTTGGATTTATTTAAATTAATTTGTTATAAGAATCAATTGATTTTTTATAAAGTTATTATTCTTCAATATCATTTTTAATTTTTTATGTACTAATTGTGTTCCTAAATAAAACATTATTTATTTTTAAATACCCATATCCAAATATGGTTTCTCATTTTTTGGGAAAATTTATTTGCTCTTTTATTAGCAGCAACAGCCATCTAAAAATGCAACTCAATCCTAAATTAATTGACTTATAGTTTCCATTATGAATTTCATTTAATAGTATGCTTCATTGTTGTTTTCATTTATTAAAATTGCTATTTCTGTATTAAAGAATTTCCTATTTATTTCTTATCATATATAATATGTAAATTAATATATACTTCATAATTGTTTTAGTCTTAAATTGCTTTTTAAAAGCTCGAAGGGATTTTTTATATACAGAAAGGCTTAAAAGCCGATATTTTTGGTTTATTTATTTCCTTTTTGAAAATATTCAATTCTAATTTCAATGAATTTTAAATCATTTATGATCAATAAGAAAAAAATTGTAAGTAATTTAAAAAGAAGTTTAAGCTCCTTAATTATGCTAATATTTATTTAATCAAAAATAATAAAATACAGAAGCAGCATGCACTAGATAGAATGCAACTTCAAATGATGTTTAAATAAGAGCAATAATATTTATCATACTATAAGATTGTTTAAAAATAACAGAGGATGAATGTAAAAAGAACTAAATCTGCTTATTTTTAATGATAAGTAAAATTTTCAGGTTGGTA